GTAGTTGTGCTCTACAACAATTGGACTTTCTTGTAGTACAAGATCTTGCTCCATTTTTGTCTAGATTCAACAGTAGAACAAATTTTATCCATGCTCCTCGCACACAACTCTCCCAGCCACTTTTTTCACAGGTGTGGTTTATTGACATGGCGGTAGCTAATGAGGCTGAGCTCTTTGTGGAAGAAGTTATGGAAGAAGCTACAGAAACGACTGGGAGTACTGAAGTTCAGGACACACTGGAAGTTACCACCATAGGAAAAGGTCAAAAGCAAACAAGAAATCGAGACAAGTGGAAGTCTAAATATGCTAGAAAAACAGGTCGAAAGGAAGAAATCACCTAGAATCGAGTTAAGTCAAGATACTGAGTGCTGCCATAAGAAATGCTTGAAGCAGTTTTCTACAGATCATTTAATTCGACTCGGAGAAAAATTTGAAAGCCTTTACTACAATGAACAGAACCTATATCTGCATGCCTTAATTGGTAGACGAGAAACAAAGAAGAGTGTTGATCATCCTCGGCAACCAAATCCAATGTCATTTCCATCTGGCTTGTTGTCCACCAGCAGAGGAGAGTTCTTACACTTTTATATATTATCTTCCTGATGAAAAGAGTTTAAATGTGAAAGTATATTTAAAAGCCTTTTGTTTTGTTTTTGGATTTGGGCAGAAGAGGTTACTTGTTTTGAAGCAAAAGATGAAATCTGCAACTGATGTTTGTATTGAGCTTGATAGACATGGTAAACATAGAAATAGACCACAGAAAGTACCTGAAGAAGTACATGAACTTGTACGTAAGCATATTAAGACATTCTCAAATAGAAACAGTCACTAGTCTCGTAAAGATATTCATGGATGAACATACTTACCTCAAGACTTATCAATAGCTCAGTTTGTACAAACACTTTTTGCAAATTCATGACCCACAATATCTTTCTTTAGACGAAGCAAACTTGCAGAAAAAAACATCCCATCAGCCTTTGGAAACAATAAGAAAACCACTGGTATCTGAGCACTTTTATCACAATGTATTTGTTAGTGAGTTTAATATATATTTTGGGTATCCAAGGACAGATACATGCTCTACATGTGATGGTGAATCTGATATTTCAAAAAAACAGGAGCTACAAGGAGAACTAGAAGCTCATAAAACATGTGCTCAAGAGGGGTATGATGCTTTTCTTTTGATCAACAGTTTGCTAGAGACTCTGAGAGTAAAGTACAATTTGACTCATAGTTATACTATACCTTACATGTACGCATATATTGTATGATTAGTATTGACTATAATTACTGTGTGTATAAGCACTACTTGCTCATTAATATTTTTCTTATTAATTCAAAACTAGTATTAATGCAAGGTGTCAATTAATGTATACAATAAAGGAAGAGATCAAGTGGTGGGTAAATATAAAACAATTATACATGTGTGCACATAATAACCAATACAATGCAATGCTGTTACTTGTATATTGAGTCATCAGTCATCATCACTATCAACAGTACCATCATCAATAGTGGGTGAGTTAGCATAAAAAAGCCTTGCAGATAAGGTGGAACATATTTACTAGCAAGTTTAGACACATCCTCTGCTTTAGCTTTTTTTATGGGCAATGAATGTGGCATATATAAAGCATTAAGAGTCGACAGTGGACATTTCCCTCGCTTCTTGTAATATGATATGACTTGAGGATTCTCACTAATGTCATAGGAGTGTCTCGAGAACCCATGCCTCAGAACGATGCTCAACATCTATCACTGTACCATCAACAACTTTCTTGCCAGATCCAAAATTGAACCAAACAGCACTTTGGAGGTTCAATGGATTCCTATTGGTATCATGGGTCCGTTCTGTGTAGATGTGGTTTAGGTACTGATAATAGCTAAAAATGAAGGATTGTTGCATTTCTACAACATAAAGGCTGCATTTACTGCTAATGAAAGATTCAGAAAGATGTTGATACCATTCTTTTGGTGTATACACAGTTTCTATCTTCTCCCCATGTTTTTCAATGATGGCAAAATGTCGATCAGTTGGACCTTAAGTGTGACCAGCAACTAAAAACTTATAACCGATACTTGAATAAACACTACAGCATATTAAATCGTGAAAGAACCACATTGTGCAGTTGTTCTTGTTTTGCCCCAGGTAATTATCAGCCTACCAGATATTATGCTTAGCTCCTGTTTTTCCAAATGGTGTCTCACTGATGAAATGAAACGAGCAAGAAATGACATCATTAGCGCCACTTTTTGCAAGTACCTCATGCCATATAAATGCAGTCATCAGTTGTGTTGAAGCAGAGAAAACTCCAAACAAATATGTCCAAAGGAGTCTCTGATATAACTGCTCTCCTACTGGTAATTTGGGTGTGGGCAGATCCTTTTGAAAATCTAAGTGAAATACGTCCACTGCTTCAATACTATTGAAAGGCTGCAAATCTCTGTTGCAAGGATTGCACTTCCAACTAATATCAGACTCACTCAAATGTTTATATTCAGCCTCGTGCATGGTGATGCACTTGCAGTGGTACCAGAGTTCGCATTTACCTTCACATTGGATGCCCATCTCATCATCACAGACACTTTTTCCACAGCATCTACACAAGTATTCTTGTTGAAAATGTCACTGAAACGTTGGAGAGCAAGACGGGTATTTATTTTTCCACAGTTTGAGCTAAACTTTGGCGTGAATTAATTTAAAAAGTTTCTTTAGCTTCTTTAGAATATATACGGAATACGTTAAACTGCCGTTTTTAACCTAACCCCTTCAATTAACCATGCTATGAATGAGGTCTATCTTGTATATGAATAATATTGATGTCACGTGATTGGAAGTGAGAAATGGGAAGTGGTATGACTTCAGTCATTATATTTGTTACTTTCAGTGGTAAAAAAAGTTGGTGTGTCATTTCACCACATATAAAATTGACCATTGGTCTCACTTCCTTTTTTGTAAGCTCCTCCTATTTCATATGCACACAAAGGACACACTTTATGTAAATGAAACAAGAGTTTAAGATGCATTATTAGGAATACAAGTCTATAATGAAACAGCAAATTTTGCTGCTGCATTATTTTGTTTTGCAAAATATATAATTGCTGTAGGGTTCTACAATCACTCTGTGTTGATGAGTTTCCTCTCTGTTCCTGGTGTTGCCACCATCCAGCTTAGCATTTTAGTCGCATTGTTTTGCTACTGAAGAGCTTGATTAAGATCCACACTTTCATTTAAGTCACAGTTTCAGTTTCAGTTGCTCCAGCAGCGGAGTCTGCAGAGCCCCTTAGTTTTTCTGCTCTGTCCGAACAAGCTGTCTGCAACTGTGCAGTGTTTGCAAAACTTATGTGCTTGTTACGAGATACCCATTTTGATAAGTTAGGGCATTATTCCCCCTTCCTCTTACCAAACACTAATACATTAATCTCATTTTCAAGAGGGAAGCCCAGCTAATTCCACAAAATGTGTGACTGCAACAATGTGTATGTCAATCAGATGTGACAAGTTTTGTGTAAGTTGCTATCAACTTCTTGTGAATAATTGCATGATTATATGTACAGTACTGTACTGCCGATCAGTTGTCAAAGGTTTGTGTTCAAAAACTTGCTACATCTTTAATTAGGCAAATGCTAATAGCAGCAAACTCTGATATTAAGAGATGTATACATAGTCTCTCCGTAAGTTAACTGCATAACAAATTGCAAATGTCATTTTCTTAATTAGTAATTTCTGAAACATTTTTATGCCCTAAGCCTTTTTCAAAAATACAAGGGAATAACACTGAATATTCATAGGTTTTTTCTCTTGCTTCTTGTTTCTGTTGCAATAGATAAAAAATTGAAGTGTTTCACTAGTTTGTCATACTCATTGTGGTGTTATAATTTATCAATTTATCTCAACAATGATATTATTCACATTTAGTTCCTTTATATTATGCTCGTAGTAATAGTTGAGTAGCTATGCCATACTTTACTTCCTACTTGTATCTCACTTTTCATTCCAAATTTGCAGAACACTTCTCACTCTGCAGTAGATAACCAAAA